GGCTGCCGCGGCGTACTTGAACGACGAGCCAGTATATCGGGCGCTGAGGCGGTAATCCCGATAACCCGATGCGGCGGACAAACAACTTCGCGCCGAATGCGTTATCTGGCTGGCGCTGCCGTCCTTGAGGAGCCCGTCTTCATAGACCTGACCCAAGAAATCCTCATCTGTGATGGTCCAAATCCTGTCCGATGGGTCAACGTACTGGCCAAAACTCACAGGCTCGTATCCGCTGGCCTCCCTGGGGGCCTACAGTCTGCGTGGTCTGGGCTGTCCTGTTCCCTGCGCCGTTTACAGCTCGTTAGTTAGAGTTGTAGATGTTCTCTTGTCGAGCTCCACGGTTGAAATGATTGAAATCCGCGCGAGGGGGGGAGCTCGAAAAAGGCTCCGCTCCTCTCCCGGAACCACGTGCTCTGAATTTCTGCGGGTCCTGGGGCATGTGAGAATACTGCAGATTCGCGCCCCCGAGGCCACGAAATCCTTTGTAAATTACAGCGCGTTCCCGGGCGATCCCCAGGGGGGAGGCTATTTTTCGCCACCCCTCGCGAGGATCGTGGCCTCCGAGGGGGTAGCTGCAATCGACTACCCGCCCTCCCGCCCCAAGGGGCCCCCAAGAGCCCCCTTAAGAGGCCCCAGGGGAGCCCAAGACGCCGCCAAGGAGCCCCAAGACGCCGCCAAGAAGCCCCCCAAGAGGCCCCCAAGGCGGCCCCAAGAGGCCCCAAATAGCGCTCCAGGGCCAGCGGAATGAGCGAAGCGATTAAACAAATTACAACGCGTTCCCGCTCCACGCTCGCTTGTAACTTACAACAGCGCTTTCGTGCCCCCGTGTCACATCCTCTAGCAACTTACGACGCGTTCGTGCCCCCGAGGCCCCCCCCTTCGTACATTTTGACGCGTTGCCGCTCTTGAGGCCACAAATCCCTTGCAAATCAGTTTGCGTCCCCGAGGCCACGAATCCCACTCCACGGAGGCTGCCCAACAGCGCCACTCCTCTTCGTGCACCCGCAGCCATAATCTTCTTGTAATTTGTGTCGCCGATGCCGTACTCTCTGAAATTACTCGGTGCAAGCTGCGCTCCCGACACTACAACATTCGCTCGTAAACTGCACCGCGCTCGCGCTCCCGACACCACAGTCCCTGGTCAACTGCGCCGTACCCGCGCTCCCGCGGCCACAACCCCTCAGGGAAGCATGGGCGTTGCCGGGGCCGCGCCCCCGCGTTCCCGTTCCCTCTCTCCCCCTCCTCGTCCTCTCCCTGACTCGCCTCCTCCTCGCCCTTTCCCCCTCCTCCTCCTCCTCCTCCTCCTCCTCCTCCTCCTCCTCCTCCTCCTCCCCCTCCTCCTCCCCCTCCTCTTCCTCCTCCTCCTCCTCCTCCTCCTCCTCCTCCTCCTCCTCCTCCTCCTCCCTCCTCCTCCTCCCCCTCCTCCTCCCCCCTCCCCCTCCTCCCCCTCCTCCTCCTCCTCCTCCTCCTCCTCCTCCTCCTCCTCCTCCTCCTCCTCCTCCTCCTCCTCCTCCTCCTCCCCCTCCTCCTCCTCGTCAGGCCTGAGCGGCCGGGCTGCCCGCTCGGACACCACGCGTAGAGCGGCTGGGCGTGCGCCCCGCGGCTGCGGGGCCCGCGTCGCCTGCCCCCATCGGGGAGGTGGAGCGGGCGGGGGCGGGGGCGGAGCGACGCGCCTCTCCGACTCGCGGCCCTCCTCCTCCTCCTCCTCCTCCTCCTCCTCTTCGTCGTCGTCGTCGTCGTCATCATCGTCCTCCTCCTCCTCCTCCTCCTCCTCGTCATCATCGTCATCATCGTCATCATCGTCATCATCGTCATCATCAGCATCAGCATCAGCATCAGCATCAGCATCATCATCATCATCCTCATCATCATCATCATCATCGTCATCATGACCATCATCATCATCATCATCATCATCATCATCATCATCATCATCAGCACCATCATCAGCACCATCATCAGCATCAGCATCAGCATCGGCATCAACATCAGCATCATCATCATCAGTCTCATCATCATCATCATCATCATCATCATCATCATCATCATCATCATCATCATCATCATCGTCACCGTCATCGCCATCGTCATCATGATCAGCATCATCATCATCGTCATCATCATCATCAGCATCAGCATCATCATCATCATCAACAACATCATCATCATCATCATCATCATCATCATCATCATCATCGTCATCACCATCATCATCAGCATCATCATCATCATCATCATCAGCATCATCATCATCACCATCAATTGTCGGGCCGTCGCCTCGGAGGCCACAGCCCCCGCGCACCTCTTCCCCCAGACGCTTCGCGCGCCCGAGGCCGCCGCCCCCCCTGCAACTCCTGCGACCCGCCCGGCGCCCCCCGCGGCCACGAGCACCCAACCTTTAAGTCGGGCCTGTCCCCCCTACAGGGGGATGTTCGACGAAACATAAAAAATACCCAGAACATAATCAACAAATAACCCAAAACATAGTCTGGGGACTATTTGTTGAGTATTTGTTTGCCTTTTTTGGGCATTTTTTCTGTTGTTGTTAAAAAACAAAAATATTATTTCTTATATATCTATATGTATGTATGTATATACATATATACACACACAGGCACACACACACATATATATATATGTATATATATATATATCGTCGACAATCCCCCTGTAGGGGGACAGGCCCGACATAAACCCAGCCCCCGCGGAGGCTGGCCCCAGAGCGCCAGCCCCTCTCCAGAGCAGAGCCTTCTTTTTTGGCATCGGCTGCTCAACCAGTGCCCCTCCAATCATACAGCTACTCCAGATTTCGTTATAAAAGGGAGGGGGTCTAGACCCTCCAAGACAAGCCATTTCAGACCTCCCCCGTGGGAGAACCCTCCAAAACAGCGTCCCCAGACCCCCCCAGGCCCTCCAAGATAGCCTGGAAGAGACCCCCCCCCGAAATGAGACCCCCCTCCCTTTATTACGAAATCTGGAGTACTTGTTCTGCTGTCCAAGATGCCCGCTCCAGCGCCGCGCCACCTCAGCGCAGCCCGCCGGGGCGCCCAGCTACAGCTGCAATAGATTGGGGCACTCAGCTACGTTTGCAGCCCCCCATCTACATAGTACCACAGGCCACCCAGCCATGTGTCTCAGATGTGACAGAGTAGAACTTTATATGCTTTCTGCATGGCGATCTTTCCCAGGCAGCCACTGGGAAGTCTTCACCGGAACAGTTAAGGAAGATTGAACCCCATTGGGAGGCTGTTGCGCCGGATTAGGCCGCGGATTACGCGGGATCAAGCCGGATTAAGCTGGATTAAGCGGGATTAACCCGGATGAAGCGGGACTTTGGACCAGGGCAAAATCAGAATTTGACCTCCCAGGAATTGCATCCGAACGATCCGTGTCCGGGCCGCGATTTTCGGCACCTCCGCCGCTTCCTCCGACGTCGGCTGTGGATCCGAGGCGACGGTTCCTCCAACATACCCATCGGTCGGAAGAACTAGGTAGAAACATGAAGTAGGAAGGCGTTGGAAATAGATTGGGTTTCCGCACGCCTCCTGAAGAGGAAGGAAGAGGGAAAACCACTCGACTTTTGAAGTAGGAAGGCGCTGAAAATAGATTGGAATCTGGGAATCCAAAGATACCGACTTTCAACGACCGATGGGTACGGGTGCGCGCTCCCGAAGCCGCGAGCCCTCGAAATCACAGTGGGAGCGCGCTCTCAATGCCACCGTCCGCAATGAAATCACGAGCGCGCGCCACGAACCGGCTCTCTCCATGGGGCCACGGAGCTCCGACGGAGCGTGTGAGGGGTGAGCCGACGTGTGCGTGCGGCGAGGAGGGACAAGGAGAGGAGAGGGGAGGAGGGGGAGGAGGAGAGGAGAGACGCGGGGCGCTGTCCTCTCTGAGCAAGGACCCAGCAATCCAGGATGGCTGGGAGGAAACAAATCTACGAGTCCAGCGTGCCCATGCGCGCAGTGTGAGGGGGGCCAGCGGCAGAGGTCGAAGCCCTTCAGATAAGATCTGAGCCCTCATGCAAAACAAATCAATGCAAATTATTCCTAACAGAGGGCCATATGTGAACCATTTTCCAGTGACCTTCAAACGGAAGAACTCGACTGGTGGAACAACACGACGACATGACTCTGGAAGCGGCGGAAGCTTCGCGATCAATCGCATCAGAAGATCGCAGTGCAAATTCTCTTGGAACGTGCCCGCGATGAGTATCGGATCAGTTTGGAGATCGCTAGAAAAGGATGGGAACTCCCAATCCTGAACAATCACAAACAAATCGCAAAATATGATCACGCACACAAGGCATGCTCTGGTTACGTCGTCCAAGCCAATCACGCCCGACTTGTCCCACTCCACGACGGCGTGTTCCTTTCCCGCAAATATAACCGATACCCACAGCACGATAGCGGAGCCAACGAAGAAAAACCATGTCGCCAGCACACGCAGCCATCCATCCCAATATCTTCTCCACACTTTCTTTACCGATGGCAAGAAATTCGGGTACTTTACCTCGTCCTGGAGGACAGAATCCAGAATCATGGTGATCGCAATCAAATCGGCAGAAACAGAGCAACACTGTGTAATTCTTGCGAACGATCTCAACTGGATGCCCATGGCGCCACTTATTTGCTCGGACGAACTTGCGGCGAGGTTATACACGAAACAAGAGACAAACAATGCGGTGACCACGGTGATAGACATCACGAACCATGTACCCTTGCAATCCGCGAACATTTCTAATTTCAATCGGTCCCGAAGAAATCGGTGGTGTATCCATTGACGGCCGACGTATGCTCCAAACACACCGGAGGTTACAATAATGAAAAAACGAAGCAGCCCCAAACCAGGAGATGATGGCCAACTCATGAGGAGAACGTAGAGGTGGCCCAGGCCGAAGAAATTCGCCTCCACGTGGGCCTCATTGATGGGGTCCTCGCCGTAGAGGTACATGTCCAGAGCAAGGACCGTGCACGCCACGAAGACGCGCGCGACCTGGG